CCTGCCAACGTCCAACTGTGAAGTCGGAATTCAAGAAGCACCGGTGGCCACATGTCGCACTATGCTAGATCACCTAGCAATCTGCAACACCACATTGCTGCGCGCGCAGCTGTTGATGCTTTCTCGCTATGCTTCTTCTTCCACCGTGCCGATGCCGACCATGATCGAGATCTGAATACATTTCGGAGGTTGGGTGATGCTTGGTGCTGGGGCTGTTGGTCGTGGTGATAGTTTTCGTGGCGGCAGCAGTGATGGTGGAGGCAGGGTACAATAGTCGCAACTGTCGTCTTGGAGGTGCATTGGATGTGCGCAAGGCGAAGCACTTGAGGAAGATGCTGAACTGCAAAACTTAGCGTCCAGGCACAAAGGGGGAACAGTGACGTTCAGCTTTGGGCAGCAGGGCCTCTTCGCCCCAGTCAGAACCTGTCACAACACGGCAAGGGCACAAGCACGGAGACACTGCGAGTTGCAAGAGAGATCATGTAGCATACAGTTCACACAGTCACACAATACAACTCATTTACACGTCTGTCTTTCCAACGGTAGATGCGAAATTGTTGGCCAATTTTGGGCCGAGACTTTTCAATGTTGCTGCTTCCACCTGACTGTCTTTTCGGAGAGTCTTGCGGCCATTAGGAAGTGCCCCTGTCCACCAGAGCCTCACCATCACGAAGTGCGGCGTGGTAGTCCCTCCGCATCCGGGAGACAATGTGCAAACCGGGCAGGCAAATGTTGGCAAAATACCTGGGCCGAGAGTGGACAAAATGCATCGATTGTGTGCACCCATGCCAGGAATGTGAGTTCAATGTATTGTTGCAGTGTTTCCCTTCTAGTGGGGACATGTGATGAATTGAGCACTGAGGTCGTGTATTCAAGCACGCCCCTACGCAGCTTTCCGCTCCCCAGGGACGGTACCAGTGACTGGCTGCACCTGATACCCTCGAGCGCTGGATGAGGGTGCCCACGCTGCTCCTTCAGTTCAAACAGCATCGAGAGAAAGAACACTCGATGCGCACCCGCACCCGCAAAGCGACACAACATGGCGGTGCCTTTCATTCGAGGAGAAGGCGGTGCACCCCCGGCTTCGTTCATGGCAAGGACCAAACTGGCGTCCATCCAGCTGAGGATGTTGAGGATGCTGAGACTCCTACAGTAACCATGTTGGGATTTGCTACCTTACTATCTTGCTTGCAATGACGAACCACACAAAGCTCGGCGATCGACTCAAGACAGATGCAAACCGCCGGGTCTCCTCAATCTGCCCAGAGGGCCGCGAGCCAGCCAGAATCCAGGACTGCCACGTCAAGACTCTTGAAAGTTGCAGAGGCCATACAGTCTGCACGAACGAACATTTTTTCAGGTCAAGCTGCAAAAAAAGAGATCCCTTGGCGTGGCCACGAAAATCTAGCCAAACCTACACACGATGTCCGAACCACTCCTTCAAGCCCGAAACGGCCCACCTCCAGTCCCCGACGCTCGGGTTCAGTGAGATCCCTCTGGAGCGCTTCGGCGCGGCGCCTTGAACGGGAGCGGATGCGCAGGGAAGTTGTTGGGCTCAGGGGTGTTAGGTACGGCTTCTTGATGGTTTGGGCTAGGGGGTCTAGACACCTCTTTTCCTCCTGCACTGTCTTAAAGTTGGACTGCCGTACCGGCTGACGCAGTGGGTAGGGACCGCCAAAGGAGGGGATTCACTACCTAACCACCTCATCCCCATACTAACACCATATCCGCGGTCCCTCAAGCGCATTGGCAAGAGGCCCTTCGCTGCTGGAAATGTTCGAAGGATTTCGAAGGCTCTCAGGCGACAGTCCAAACACCAACAGAGTGGTAGGTATCAAGTGACAGCATCGAGGAAGGTGCTCGATAGGGTTCGGGCTTGGGCTCAGGGGGCCATTCGTAACTCACTTTAGTTGAAGAGTTGGAAGTCACGTGGTGTTGTTTGGGGAGGACGGGACTCGGCCTGGGCTTCCGTTGCTTTTAAGCATTTAAGCGCAGAAAACAAACGCCGTCCTAATGGCCCACTGTATGGCACCCGGCATGGATGTGCTTTCAATAAACATCTCTGGACACCCCGTGTCCCGACTCGATGAGGTCCAGGCATGGGGCTCAACTTGCCCAACAGCTCGTAGATCTCCTCGAAAGCCTGCAGGCGGGTTGCGATCCGTACCTCCAAACTACCACTTTGATCATACTTTGATCCAGACCTCGAAGCCAGAACTTGGCCTAGCCTTAGTCTTATCTGGGCTCGTGCAGCCTGTCGCCGCAGTGAACAATTAGCCCACTGGGCCTGGGACCACCGCACAGGAGGATGAGTATCTAGAATCTAGCTACTAGTCCGATAGACCTAGGAGCACAAACCGAGCAAAGAGAAGCCGCGACAGTAGCGACGCACAGAATGTGCCTAGGCCTACTTCGCGATCTGTGCCTCACTTTGAGCAGCACAGGCCCCAGGTCCTCCACGAGACCAATCTGCTTTTGCTGACGTTTTTCAGACTCCAGGTTGCTACTAGCCCTTACTAGGCTACATCCAGGGTGTATGCAATTCGCTGATTCCCGGCTATCTTCTTCATTCGAACCCTTGTCGCAGAGACGCAGAGCAAGCACGCCCAAGGACATGCAATTCTAGAACAAATTGATTGAGCTGCTGCGGCCAGCAGAAACAGACTAAAACATCAGAGTCGACAACTCCACAGTTCTACGTGGCTGTGTCCTTGGCTGCCGGCACATGGCTCTTTGCATGCCATTGTCATACTGTAGCTGCCAGAGACCTGCATGATTCTAGGCTGCCAGAATTGCAGGCTTCTCTGGACCCGTGGCTCGGTGACTTAAACTTGGCAGAACACAGCCGACTGGGCCACCCAACTGTGAAGTCTGCCATTCTGGCAGAGTCCTGCCAGGACCGAAATCACCCTCCAAGGATCACTGCGAACCGAGCCAAAGAGTCGGAGAAGTGCAAACATAAACAGAGTCCTTGCTCATTCGGAAGCTGAATTAGGCCTTCAGTGTGCAGGGTGCGAAGGAATGATGTGATGGTAGGACACCCACCGAGCCGTCGCAACTCGCGCAAACATGATCCCAGTCAGCTGGACTTCAACGGACTTGACTAAACCTGTTGGCCTTGGCGCTGACCATCTTGCCTAATCGCTCGAGCTCAGCTTCCCGCCCTCCTACCGCGCCTGCCAGGAAAGCAAGTCATGCTGGATGTGATGGCAGATGCCAGTCTCGTCCGACGATTTTCGGCAACGCGCAAGTAGGCCCCGGCCTGACCCTCCTCAGAGACCTCGCAAGCCTCCTCCTCCTCTCGGCCCTCCTGCGAGATGCCGACAAAGGGAGGACCGAAGCGTCACTAGGGATCGCATGGGAAGAGCAGAAGGATCAGATTCCCCTATCCTGCCGGAACCAGCCCATGCTGGAAAGCAGGCGCTCCAAGCTGGCTGTGGTGGGGACCCCAAGGCTACCTCTCCGAAGCTCCTGCCCTCGAGAATGGTCATCTCCAGATCGCTCATCGTCACGAGGCCGGACACCACCTGGGTCTGCTCCCGCGGAGCTTCAGGACAATATATAATATAGTATAATACAATATAACATATTATATCATATTCTATTATTATGTATATACATATATACTATATATATATATATACATCTATATATATATATACATACATACATACATACATATATATATATATATACATACACATATATATATGTATATATATATATAATGTATATATATAATGTATATCTATATATCTATATATATATATATCTATATATATATATATATTGATATATTGATATATTGATATTATATATACAATATAGTAGATAATACAATATAATAATAGAATAGAATAGAATAGAATAGAATAGGTCAATCTCCTGCAGTAGAAACAGCAGTGTTAGTGCCACAAAACAACGCTACTGCCGCCGCCACCACCACCACCACCGCCGCCACCACCACCACCACCACCACCACCAGGACAAGACGAACAACACTACCTAACGGCTTTAGGTTTTGTCAGTGTCACCCTTAAACTTCCAAGTTGAGCAATTCGAGTCTTTGTGCCTCGAGGCTTTGTTGCACGTGCTGCTGCTTTTGAAGCCTTTGCACAAGAAGGCATGGAGGCAATGGATGTGATTCCTGCAAGCCCTGACCGAACTAACAAAAGGCCTCTGACATTTGCAGTGTCTTGTGCACAGGTCGTGAACAAAATTCTTGAACACCCACATGGGGCGTTTGCTCAATGGCGGACAAGACACGGAGTGCGAGGAGGAGGTCATGGCGTCAAAAGTCATGTCCTGACCATTCGAGAGTCATCAGCTGGATGCTTCAAAGTTTTGTCTTGACTATCAGAGGTGCACCTCTCTCTGTGCAGGTGTACTAAGGCCCAAACAACGAAGCGTGACCTTGGCTGGAAGGCCACTTTCGTGCGGAGTGGTGCTGCTGGGAGGAGCGTATGACAACCTATTCTCGGCCCTCTTTGACGCTGAGGTGCCGTGAAAGTTCTTCGCCGGGCACTGGCGAAGCAAAGCTCTGAAAAGGTAGCCGAAAACGTCGCCATGCAAACTCTGGATTCCGGACTTGGCATCACGAATTCAAACAACACACACACACAGACACACACGCACGGTTCCGGGCAACCAACTGCTTCATGTCGCTGCGGGCTGCTTCGTTAATATCCACAGCACTCGAGCACATGAGGGTCGATGGACTCCACGATTTAAAGTGTATGCTTCGACTGGCAACGAGCGACAGCAGAAGCAACGCAAGTTCTCCAACTGTTCAGGTGGCGGAATCTGGGACTCAAGGTGAAACGTGCGAGGGCCGTGAGGCCCAGAGTGGTGCCTTTGGCAGCCAAACAGAATCCGTATTTCTTGTAACGTTGAAGCACTGTGAAGACCCTCCATTCTTGTGGTTCAAGGGATCAAGACCTCTGTTCCATACTTGGTATTGGAAGCTCAACGATTTCCGCAGTCAGTTGTGTGAAAGAGACTCGGGCGCCCAATCACCACCCTGGCAATGAGACGTCAACCACAGAAGTAGCAAATGGCCCGTCGGGATAACTTTGTGGCTTTGGCCAGTTTGCACAGCACCACAGTTGCTATCCCACCCCCCCCCAGCATCGCATAACATCATTCGTGCCAGGTAGACATGGGCCCAGGGGGTCGATGTTCTCCAGTCACCGAAGCCTGAACGAGAAAACACGGAGAAGCTGAAGAACAGAATCCTGACAGACCGTGCGATGGTTCAGAAGGAACATTCCTGCCAACTCCCAACACCCCGCCGGCTCGTCCGCGGAGCGTGGTGAGGTCTGGAAGGCTACCGCAGGTCCCCATCCTGTCAAGGCAGAGTGTCTATAAATCCATGCTCTGCTGAGCTTAGAGGCTCAGAGACTTCTGGCCTCGGAAGTTCAAACTTGCCAGCATTGACTTGCTTCGTTTGCTCTCTTGTCGTTCCGACTCATAAATCTCGTTGGAGCCTATCTGTAGGAACTACACATTCCGGCTCCGCATCGAATGTCGGATTGGTGAGTGGAATCCTTTTTGGTGAACCCTTGGTAACCGGAGTCTTGTGATGAACAATGCTGACAACTTCAGGCCGCGGCCTGCTGAAAAAGGCCAAGTAATTCTCCAAATGATTCAACACATCTCAGCGTCGCTGGCAAGACCCTGGGTCATTCTAGGATGGTCGCTGGCAGCACCAAGGATGACGACTTCTTTCAATTTGAGGGATACCTAGGATGCCCAATGGGTTAGAAGACTCGCCTGTCGTATACATCACATTCAAATTACCACGCGAAGCTGCGAGTTCCGAGAATAACATCTCCACATGCTGTCCTTGGGTTGATGCTGGCCACGCCGGCAGCACGCATCCCGGGGAGGGCCTTGGGGCAAAGAATGGGGAAGGATGCGGCACACTTTTCCGAGATGCTGATGTGTCTTGACAGATGAACCCTGCCAATGCCCAGTGCAAACCCCCAACAAACCCTGAAACCCTAAAACCCTGAAGCCTAAAATTTCGAAACCCCACAGCTACGATTTGCAAAGCACGAAAACTTTAAACCCGCAAGGCCCCCAACCCAAAAGCCGGAGAAGCATTTGCAACGGCACAAGCCCTCCCCGCAACCCTAATCCTCAACACCTTAGGATTGAAGCCGCGAACCCCGCAACCTCAAGTCTTGAATGCCTGCATCCGAAAAATCCAGAAGCTCCCAATCACTGAGGCCACACTCAAGTCACTCAAGGCGTGCCCTAAAGCCCTGACTCCAAAACCATCGAATCCTGCAGCCCAAAAAACAAAGATAACCTCTAGTTGAGACCCTGCGCGCGCCCCGCCTCAGCCACCTTTCGGATCCTGTCTTGGCGCTGCTGGTTCAGCTCTACCTGCTGCCGAAGCACTTCGGAAGTTGCACATGGATGCACAGTTCGTGGCCCATGTGCCCAAGCTCGGAGCTTGATTCCGATAGTGGTTGTGCCTCAGCAGGGGCTTGAGGGACTACTTTGGGCTCACCACTGACACACGGAAGGCTTTCTGTCCTCAGTTGCAGGCCCATCCTCCTCACGATGCAGCGTGCATGCCACCTCAGCAAAGTCAACCGTGGCTGACTCCGCGCTGAAGATACAAGTTCGCAGGTTCTCTAAGTCGTATCACCTAGACTCCTAAATACCTATGCTCTCCCGAAACAGCGCTGTGTCCCTCGCGGCACGGAGCTCGCGGTTTGCAGCCATGGCGGTGTCATGCGCCTGGCGCTCCTGGTGCTGTTGCAGGCGCTTCTCGTCATACTACACGCAGAAGGACGCAATTTTGGGCTGTAGCGGTTGTGTGCAGGTTGCAGGGGCGACATCGCTTCAAGAAATTCAAAACAGTGGAGTTGTGGTTTGTGGTATGTCGAGCTTTGCTTGCAGCTTCATGTGTCAAGAGCACACCCAACTCTTGCAGCTGGCATGCTCCTGTTGTAGATATTAGGCGGAGCGTGCTTCGCGCGCGATTAGGTACGCCACAGTGCCACAGTGCCACTTGTAAGGGCTCCTTCGTTGCAAGCACTGCAAGGGGCTCTTGAGTTAGTGAAGCAGCGCTTCGACTTCCAACTTCGTCACAAATCCGGGGCCCTTCCGATAGAACAAATTAGCTTGCTCTCCTGACGCTCCATGCAGCAGTCAGCGCCTAAATGTTGCGATAGCAGTCCCGATGAAAGAGTTGTTGCTGTCGTGGTGGTGGTGGCGGTGGTGTAGAGATGGCCGTGCTGATGCCGATGCTACTGCCGGCGGGGGGGTGGGGGTGGTGGTGGTGGTGGGGGCGGGGGTGGTGGTAGTGGTGGGGGTGGCAGTGGCAGTGGCGGTGGCGGTGGTGGTGGGTGGTGGTGGCGGTAGGTGGTGGCGGCGGCGGTTTTGGGATGGTGGTCATGGTGGTAATGGTGGTGGTGGCGGAGATGATGGTGGTGAGGATGCTAGTGCCGCTAATGCCCTGATGGTGATCCAGAAGTTAACCGATGCACATGGTGATGAGCGGCATGGTGTTCACCATCATGTCATCATTGTCTTCATCCTCCTCGTCTCTTCCTTTTTCTCTTCCTGCTCCTCTTCATCATCCACCATCACTATCCTACTCATCAACATCATAAGTTTCTTCTTCTTTATTGTCACCGCTCCAGATCGATAGCATGTTGCCATATCTGTCTCTTATTGCGTGGAATTGACTTTGGGCTTGTGGCGTGCGCTCTGTTGGGCACTCAGCGTAAAGCCTGCAGCCGAAAAGCGGCCCCTTAGAGCTGAAGCTCTGAAAGCGACGAGGAGTTCCGGAGAGTTCGGGAGACGTGTAGTGGCAACTTGCGCTCACCAGCTGTGTATGTGTGAGATCCGCGAGACCGAGAGAGTAATGCAATGTCCAGTCCCGTTCGTCCACTCCGCTCACGAACTTCACCATGCCTCGGCCGCCAACGCTTTTTCAAAGCCATGCAATGTACTCTGAGGCAAAGAATGAAGGTACGCTGCTCGTAGCTAAGCCGCCGCAAGCACCAAACAGTGTCGAAGACGGCCCCAATGTTGCATCCAACAAAATGTTGCTTCATCTACACACCAACAATGGGGCCTTAATGGTGTTGCCACATTTTCTGAGCACCTCACTGGCCGATCGAGTCATCCTCGGGAAACTGCGATCGATGCTGCAAGGAATATTGTGGCCGCTGCACCCTTAACTCCTGCCGGGGTTAACTTTGGATCCGCACCTGGTTGGAACATTCGTTTTTCACATTGTGTCACCCGATAGACTTGGCCCACGACTGCGAGATGTTGAGAGGCTTCCCATTCTCCATGGGCATCGTAGAAATCTGCAGCGAAGCTGGCCGTTGCATACAACCAGAATCGGGTTTTGCAGGGCTCGAATTTAGAGGCACACCTGCGTGAGCATCGATCCGAGCAAGCACCATGCACAAAGGGCGTGTGGACTAGGACTAAGATTCGTGGTTCGTGCAAGGCTGCCTGCATGTCCCGCTCGAACTTCACCCCCGGTCGAAGGGGGTCGGTGCCAATGTAGGGAACATACTGTACCTAGGTGTGCGAGAGATGCCCTGTGTCATACTCCCTCTGATCAACTTCGTACTGTCCCGCGATACCACACTACAGTTGAGACTCCGGCGTGACCAGCAAAGCCATTGCCGGTCCAGTGCCTTGTCGAGGCATGCATGACCACTACAGTCAAAAGGTCGTTGTCGACTTGCTCTCGGTTTGCTAAACGAAGGCCTTGGATGCATGTCGTTCTTCGCACGAACCTGGCACAAGAAACATGGCTTCCGACGAACAGGAAACCAGTTCGTGTGAACGCATCAGATTCAGGATGGCTCCGTCCGTGGCTTTAGACTAACAGTTAAACAGTTGAAGTTCAAGTCTAGGTGGCTGCAGAGCAATGCCAGGCACGCTCATGCCATGCCAGACTGCCGCTTGCACAGCAGCGGGCAGTGTGCGTGACTTGTGGATGTGTGTCTTTTGCAGTCGGGGCCGGTCGGGATGGCGGTGCTTGCTACTTCAAACAGCAATAGCATCAGCTGCATCGTGGGCAGGGAGGCACAAGCTTCTGTCGATCGAACATGGCGAATGAAAAGACTCTGACCTCATTGATGAGCATGTTGTTGTAATCCTTGATTGCCGCTCTGTGTTCGCCTGAAGCAGGCCACGGGAGCCCAATTATAACTGCAGTAACTACGGCCACACAGAAGCAGCCCAAGATAACCCAAGTGAAGCCCATTTCGCCGAATGGCGGCTTGCATTTCTCCTCGTGTCCAGGTACACTGGCCTGAGTCTGGCAGCAAACAGGGGGCAACACGGCTGAAACCTCATCCATTCGGTTTCGTCTGCTATTCGTGCATCACGTAAGGTGTTGTTCCAAGTTGCTATTTTTTGCAGGGTCTCCCATGCCATCAACAGTGTGCAAGGCGATTGAGCCTCCGTGCGCCGCAACGCGCAGATTGGGAAAAGTGGATCGTTGGGCCGTGATCGTATGATGGACCTAAGCGGCCTGGGCCCGCAGTTTCCTAAAGCTGCTTAACTTACACAGAACCCCAAAATCCCCAGAACCTTACCTGGCTAGCTTCCTTCTTGGGCTCGCGACGTCGGGGTCTCTGTGAGGCTGAAGTCCAGCGCAATGCCCTTGCGCCGGGGAGCCACAGCCTGGAAGAACATCTGCAAGGCTCCTCCCGGTCATATTACACCCCTTGATTACTCCTCATTCTCACCGTCTAAGAATTCTAGTTCGTGCATGTATCAAAGCGAGAGTTGAAAATCAACGGCAAGGGACAAAGCTGCAGGGATGATCCTTGAATATGAATGCTTGCAATCCCCGTGCTTCGCTAAGCAACACCGGCTGCCCAGCCTGTGGCATCGTAGCACTGCTGGAGTCCACTTAACTTGTGACTGGGGCCTACTAGGGAACTCAGGAGTAACTACTTGCATGGGTGGGCTAGACTGCTGGCTGCGTGCCGCTGGCTGCTGGCCGTGCGTCTGAGTTCACAACAATGAGCTTAGAGCTACCTCTTGTACTCTTGCGAGCCCAATTTGTCCTCCCTTCGCTCTCAAACGCTCGAAAGCACTACGAGGGACGCAATTCCGAGGCATGCGGACCAGGATGATTTCCTCGTGCTGCGAAACGCAATCCGAGATGTCTGACTGTCAAGGAGTTTGCCAAACAATCAGGGGCAGAAATCTTGATGCAGACCTCTGTTCAAAGAACCGCTGCCCCCAATTCTTGAGACCTCCTTGAAAGGCTTGAGGCAACTTGCCCTGGATAGTCCAGGGGCGCCGATTCCCAGAGGGAGCCAACTCCCAGCAGGTTCCAGTGCTCGGTGAGTTTAAAAGCGGGTCCGGAGAATCCTGCAGCTTTGGGATCTGGGCCTCGGCTCTCTCTGCTAGGCCCTTCAGATTCAGGGCGGAAGCCGAGGCTTTCAGAAGACTCCGGAGCCGGAGGGAGCCGGAGGGTCAGGGGCTCGCCACCGGCTCAACCGTCGAGGCAACGGAGGCCGGCGAGGCTGCAGCTGCCTTAAACGAAGCTACAGAAAAGGTCAATTGCTGCGAGAATTCTCGGATTCTCCCGGTGTTAGACTTGACTTGAGGGCCATGGAGGTCGCCGAGCTCATGATGTGCTTCGCTGTCGGGAAGTTTCGTGCGTCCTTCACGAAACCGTGAACTGCTACGGTACTTCCCCTTGACGGGCCTGGTGCTGAAGCTTGATCCACTGAGCCCGAGGCGGAACCACCCGGGCTGGCTGCTGGAGTGGTTACCTCCTGGCAGGAACTACGCATCTTGAGCTTTCGGGCCCTTGCCGGCCTTGCTGAAGGGTTGCCAGCCCGAGCTGAGACCCTCCCCCGTCCACGACGAAGCGGTGGCCCAGCAGCTTGTCGGCGTAGGGTCGCCTTGTGTGGTCCCGGTTCAACGTGCGCCTTGGAGTGGCTTAGTGATGCCGGAGGTGTCAAAGGCATGCTCGAGCTTGGCAAGTTTCCCAAATCAGAATGTGTAACTGGAAACTCTCTATCCCGAAATCATTATGGCCTTCAAGTCCCCTGTGCACTGTGTCAGAACTCTTCGGTACTCCCCGGGGCTTTCCCAGCAGTCAGCCGAATCAAGCCTTCAAAGCTGCATCTCCGGATCTTTTTGAGAATGCACCGTTCTGGTACTAATTACTTTGAAGTCTTTGGCAAGTGCTGACCCAGGCGTCCCGGCTCCAGGAAACTACGGCAGTCCGGATGGATCTTGTCCGGAAGTGGCGGGATCTCCGGGCCGTGTTGAAGGACGACGGGCTGGTGGGCGGTGCGTCTTGGGGATCGTTCTCTAGGGACCTACGTAGCACAGACAATAGCTAGTAACTCCTCGCAGACGCTGGCTCTGTTTGTGTTGTCACAAACCATGTTTGATGGCCAGCTCTCAAACCTGCCGTCCACCAAGACTTGCTTCGACTCGTGACTTGAACTCACAAGAGGCCCCAAGGTTGAGACAACCCGGACGTTGCTCCTCATCGCTGTCCACGATGTGACGGAGCATCTCCGTAACTGGCATCTTGTGCTCCCTGAGTCGAGGGACTCGTGGGACATGAGTCTTGCTTGACATTTTAAAGCAATTCCAAGCTGCTGCGACTGTTCTTACTGTTGAGGGCCCCCAAACATCTATGCAGAATAGCATCTGACGATTTCAGGAAACTCCGTGGTTTATGAACCAGCCCGAGGAACGAAAGCCGGTAATCGATCACGTCCTAAATATGACGAGCCTGACATTCATAGCATCTGGCAAGCATTCACTTCAGAAGAGGCCCTGCGGTTTTGTCACACTGAGGTCGCTGCCGAAGGTTCGGCCATGGCGCCTGCGTCCATGGATTCGATGCCAAAAGCACTATGCGATCCGGCAAGTGTAGAAGATGAAGCTCTGTTCCCTCTCTCACCTGCTGGGCACCGGTGATGCTGTTTCCACATGTGGCAAACATCACGCATGCTGATTGGAGACCCCGACGTCTGCAATCCCCCAGCTCCCCCCTTCCCAGCGTGCATCTGCTGTGATCATCTCGATCACGGTGCAGCCTAGGCTCCAAATGTCCTGGCCGGAAGCTCAGGGCTGCGCTGCTCAGTGCTAGGATGAACTCTGCCTTTGGAGGATCTCCTACCTACCGCAGAGCGGAGCTCATCATTGCAAACTTGGGCCTAACTAAGCCGGTGCAATTGCTGAGCTGCTTGGAACTCGCCAGCAGGACCGATCTTCTGCCAGCGCGGTATTTCATCACCTGCCCGATTGCTGGAGACCAAGGATCGAGATTGCATATATCATAGAAGGCTTGTCGTCGGCCCTGTGCAGTGCTCAGAACACTGAGACAGATGCTGAGAGCACCGAACAAAGATCTCATGGCTCACTTTTTGGCCTAGGGACGTTGCCACGTATCCCGACAAGGATTCGGATATGCTTGCGGTATCAACGGACCTAAGTATGAAGACGACTCTGTCTTATCAAGAAACGAACCACAACCACACCAGCGAAGGAATGAGTACGAAGGTATAGACAACTCGCAGAACCTCTCTCTCTCTACATAAGACTCACGGGCAGTGCTCGGGGAAGCAGCTGCCGCATCCAACCACGCAGACTCGGAACTCGCCAAGCAAAGCCCAGCACGGGCCTCGGGCGCCATCCAGAAAACACTTCCGTGGATGGATTTGACGCCCCCGGTGGTGCACGTGCCGTGGAGGGTGTGCAATGCCTCCAGCGAAAGGACTTGAAAGCACACATATAGAACCTTAGAGCACCTGAGAATCTGGGGCCAGGGGGGGGCCCTTGGAGGCCTAAGTGAGGAGACCAAGGGGTACTGCGACGCCTCGAGGTTCTGCGAGGCACCGAAGTCGGCCAACTTGGCATCTCCATGCGCGTCGATGAGAATATTCGCACCTGTGCTTCTTTCGCGAAAGAGGGAAGGCACTCTTTGATGCTGAGGCGAGGCCGCGCACGCAGCACACCGAGGCTGCTACCCTTCACATCCCGGTGGACGATCTTCTCCGTATGGAGAAAGTCCAGGCCTTCCAAGATCTGCCTCCGGTTTGAGCGGAAGTGCCCCTTTCCACGTCAAGAGGAAGATGAATAGCCCAAAGGAAACCCTTGACAAGAAGGAATGAAGAGTGGACCGGTTTTGTGATTTTCAAATATTTCAATTTCAGTCGCACCTTGTGTACTTCTTCACGAGTCGGATGCCATAGGGACCGAACTTCTGGAGCACCTGGAGATGGGCGATGCTCCTTCTTTGCCGGATGCTCGACGGATTCAGAGCAGCAGCTCGTCTGAGACAGACTCCGCCCCCACCCGGTTGGTCGCGCTCGCGAATTCCTACTTTCTCGCAACCACTATTGCTAGGGCCTTTTCAGGCACCAGACTCGCAAGCTCACAGCATGCAACAAAGGCAAGTTCAAGTCTCAAGGCTTGAGGACAGAAGTTCAAAGCAACTCTGGAAACTGTCCCAAGATCAAGTGCGCAAAATTCTGCCGGAGCTGCTCCCTTGATGGATCCGCTCGGCATGTACTCCAGGAAGATGAGAAGGGCAGGATCTTCCTGACATGCCCGGAAAGCTCTTTCATTAAGAAATTAATTAATCACGATTCATCCCCAAACGATATATATATATATTTATACATATATATATATATGTATGTATATGGATGGAATCCTGAGTACGCTTTTAAGGGTGTACAGCTTATTTAAGGGCTTTCGGTTCTCTGGGTGTAGCTATCCCATGGAAGCACATGTGCAACGAGGGATGTGACTTTGCCCGGGCCTCACTGTCTTGTCTGATGCAGCCCTGGTAGCGCACAATCCTGGACATGCAGGAGGCGATGCCCAATCTGGGCCTGCTGTGGCTGCATGTATCTCTGCGCAAGCATTTGTCATTCAAACGATGTAAACGCCGGCTGGGTTCTAATCCGGAGAGCTGGCCAATAACGACGTGGGAGAGGACAGCCATGCTTGGATACCGTAACCAAATAAAACGTTTCAAGAGCAGGTGGGGATCCAAGAGGCAGGCATGCAACACCCGGAAGCACAATGAGTAGGTAACCGGCAGCTCAACCGCTGGACAAAGTCTTCCAGCACACATGCATGCATACACAAACACGAACACACATACGAGACACACAATGTTATACACGCATGCAACGAGACAGATCGTAGAAGCCTGACAGGAATAAACAGACAACAAACAAGTCGACCGCTCAATAGATAGGAAATAAACATCGCACGTTGACATACCTGCACTCCAGAGATGAACTCTCCCTGCTAAAACAAACACACACACACACACACACGCACGCACACACACACACACAAAACAAAATACATTCCAACTGACTGTTGGCGCTGAAAATAAAAGCGCGGGTGTCCTCTTGTGCTTAAGCCGCTTGAGCGTGTTGATCTCCTGTAGGAGGCCGTTGATCTCCTGTGGCCACAGAGTTAAATCTCCCGTGCAAAGGTCTCCTTGCAAGATCAGACAAGCTTTGCAGCAGTGGCTGGCAGGATCAACAGCGAGCACAACATGACGGAGTATCATGAATATAGTTTGAACCTATGTATCGGCAGAGACATGTCAAACCCACTGAACAAACAAGCATGGACACCAGCAGTGATGCTGGGAGTTGCTCTGTTACAACAACACTGGTAGATCTGATGAGTGACGGCAGTATGAGCAGTAACAAAGTGAGTATGGGAGCGCACAAAAGGCGGTCCACGACCTTATGTACACTCTCACCTACAATCTTCGTCCTTCTCTACCGCGTGCTGTCCGAGGGAGACGTCCAAGGAAATCTGCCAGAATCGGTTGACACAAGTCAGACTCGACGCAACTCGGTTGCAAGGCCCTCGCATTCATCGGATAGTCCTCTATGCCTATCACATCATCTGTAAGACAAAAACCTGAGCGTGGCCTTCTTGACCGCCATGAACTTGCCCGCAACCATGGCTTTGAACCTCGCCACAGGCATGATGCATTGAGCTTCTGCGCGTTCGACTTCAACAGCTCTGTTGCAAGCTGTGGCTGGCACACTTCTCCATAGGCGCCCTTACCCAGTGACTCGCCCTGGCAGAGCTTCCACGACGGTCGCTGGATTGCTTGTGAATCTGGTCAATGCGATTCTGACAGTTTCCCGACAAGATCAGCATTTGCATCCACATGCAAACTACAGAATTCATGGTGACACTCAAGTCGCAGTCACGGGTAGTGACTGGCGGGTGAACGGCCTGCTTGAACGCCCGTAACCGGGAATCCTGTCGACAGCTCGCAATAAGATCGCTCGGCCTGTCCAACGCCCTTCCAGCAGATTCGCTCATAGGACTCGCTGTTTCGACCCCTGGGCCGGATCAGCTCCTCCTCCACATCCAGGCGCTCGTAAGCCAGGGCGGACGGCGAGGCCTCGAGATTGCTCATTGATCCCTCTCGAGGGTTCGGCTGTGGGTATTTCTTTGCTGGAGTTTGAAGGCATCGAACTCTCGGGTTCTTGTCTATGCTTCACAGCTAGCAGCTCCTGCAGCAAGTCATCTGAGAGGGCCAGGCGCGGCCGGAAGAAAGGCTGTCTCTGTGAGGGGATGGGCTCAAGGACCTCATCACCAGCGCATGGAATGTTGGATAGGATTGGCTGCTTTGGCGACTCATTGGCCTTAGCATCTTCTGCTCTGCCGTGGTCCTAGGCATCGTGAAAGGGAAGGCTCGGCAGGAGGCGTGCTGCCATTTTCAGCGGCTCCGCCCTGCAGGAATGACAGAATTTTGGCATTATGGGACTGGACAAATGGAGCTGCTAATGTCGGCTCACAGTCCACGAATCCAACTCTACCTCGCCGGCAGTATATATATATATATACACATGTATATCATACATACATACACCCACACGCATCCGTGGAAGCTGTATTATCTTGCATATTCTCATGAGCGTGGGGTCAAAACTAGGCTCCGGAGCCTTGGCCACCCCTGGCAGACTCGGCGGCAGTGGCAAGTCGACCTGTTCAGTTGGATCCGGCATACATCAACCTCACAATGCGATGACACTAACAGAAACGCAAGTACTTTGAGTTGAATGCTTGTGCTAAGACTGCTAAGACTAGGAGTCCGAACGAACGAGCAATCAAGACTGCCTACTGATGACAACAGCAGGGCCAGTAGCACAAGCCACTGTTGTCGTCGTCGCTGTCGTAGTGGTGGCGGCAGCAGCGGCAGCAGCAGCAGCAGCAGCAGCAGCAGCAGGAGGAGAAGCAGTAGCAGGAGTAGAAGCGGCGGCTGCTGCTGCTGCTGCTGCTGCTGCCATGCTGCTGCTTCTGCTGCTGCTGTTATTGTGGTTATCGTTGTCGTCGTTCGTCGTTGTTGTTGTCGTTGCTGCTGCTGCAGCTGGTGTTCTTCCTCTTGCTGCTGTTGATGAACAGTCGTAGGAGGTGAAAAGGAGGAGGAACAGCATCAGTGGTACCAGTGATAACATGACTTGAGAGTAGCGGCGATTTAATTCAACTAACCAAAGTAATCAGGAGGATAACAGTCAACAGTGATTGTCACAGTCTTGTTACTGCGGCGAGTACTCCAGGGCCTTCAACACGGAGTCAATGCCAAAAGCTGAACAATGCAACTGATGCTCTGCCCTGCACCTCGTCTACCGCAGGTACAAAGTCAGCCATCGCTAGCGTCGCGCTAAGGGCGGTGAATCCAGGATTAAGTTGCTTGCCGGGTGCTGTATTGAGATGGTAGCTTGTACCTTCGTGAAACTTCGTGGGTGTCCGTGGCTTTCTGCTAATGTATCAGATTTAGCATAACGTTTTGCTGACGGCTCGGTGGTTCAGTTGCAGAGCAGCGCTAGGATTCCTTGCGGGTGCGACGGATGCTGGGACCTGTCGTTCCTTCAACTTCTTAGAACTCTGTGGCTGAAGCCAGAAATTTCCCGTAATGTGCACGTGACGTCCACAAGCGGGAAAAAGCTTGCAGGCCCAGTGACCAGATCGGAAAACACAAGCGACTACCACATCGATTTCGACCAAGGCCTTAAGGACGCCACTTCTCACTGTGTGACACACATGAACTGAAACCTTGTCAGACGCACTCAATCGAAGCCTTCCTTCGGAATCTGCAGAGGCAGAGTCTGCCGAAGGGTCAACCGAGGCGGAGCCCGGGTGCTGGAGGGATTGCTGCCCTTTCCCGAACTCCCATCTGCCCAGGCCCTGAGCATCGTCTCGACGGGCCGGAACGCACCGAACCGGGTCCAAGCCGCGAGCACTACGCCCACTCCCTTTCAGAGAGCATTGGGAGCGTGTATGGCGCAGGATGGCGAGTTGCATCTCGTGACCCTTTCGCTGCTGCGAGTCGGCGAAAGTGCAACCCAGGCTCTGCAGCTGCGCTTGGTCAGGGTTTCTTTGGCAAGCGCTTCAGCACAAAGATGCCTCCACGGCCGCCTGGAATGAGAGTCTGCCGTTTCCACATCGACACTGTAGCTCCCAAGCCCTGCACCTCGGGAGATGCGAAGGCTTCGGTCACAGAAGGTAGTTCGAAGGCGTCCTTCAGGCCTCGGCTCGAAATGCTTCTCGAACTTCTATTCCTAGAACGGCGACGCTGACACTGGCTTAAGCTTGGATTTACGACTGCCGCAGGGTGTGGTAGACTGCTGCAGTGCATTGTTGCAGCCGCCACCTCTTCGCGCATTGTTGGCAGAACAGGAGGCAGTCATGCAGGATACTGTAGTTGCCTACAGCTACGCCAAGTCTGTAGGGACTGGCAAGAGTTGAATGATTGCATCCGTGGTACTTCTAGTGCAATTGTTCCAGGAGCAGTGTGCTTCAGACGTGTTGGCCCTGGTGGTCTCAAGCACTCGATCCCTCAGTCTGCAATCCAGCGCGCCAACAGGATTGGGACGATGATTACGAAAGGGGGCTTGTGAGGAGAGATCTCTGCAACTCCGGCGGGCCCGAAGCTTAGGGTTTAGAGGAGAATGGGCCTGGGCAAAGGCAGCTCGATGTCCGGTAGGTTCGGCAACTTGAAGGAGAAACCTCAGAGAGGCGAGATATTTGGGGAAAAGCCAATTTCCCACTTCCCAAAGTCATCAGATGCTCTTTTTACATCCCTCTGCTTGAAGAAATACATATCTGGAGCCTGAACATCACACCAAGCATATCCAAGCATCCGATGACACACTTCTCAGAGCTCGGGGCTGGTAAAAATGACGCCGAGGTCCAGGGCATCGCTCCCCTTCAGGTCACCCTGGCAGCGTCCAGCAGGCTTGGAGTCTTACCCCCCCGGCGCCACCGGTCATTAACTTTATGAGTCACTACTGACTACAACAACGACAGGGAGGAGCTTGCTGTTGTAGTCCCATTCTTACCATGGTCCAGGGCTCGGGGCTTGAGTACTCCGGAGCAAGGCATCTCAGCCCTGGCCTTCACGCGCAAGTCCAACTTGGGGCCGCCGGAGCCTCCTGACAGCCGAGCACTTTCTTTCGCCAGGGCTAGGTTGAAGGGGAGATCCCCCTCACCGCGCGCGTTAGCGCCCGGGGCTGTTGCGGGGCGAAGAGTGAATTAGGCGCTCGCCACAAAGGCAAGAAAACGATACTCTCTTTCTCTCTCGCTCGCTCGCTCTCTCTTCAAATTCGGCAACGTAAAGACATGGTTCATGATTCTAAGTACGAGTACGGTACCTGGGCGCAGCAATACTAGGAAAACTGGACCTCAAACTACCCCGAAGTCTCATCAGCGAATCATAACATCACGGCCAACATCCAATTTAATCCGTGCATTTCCAACGTACTCGTAACCATGAAGATTATCGTTATATAGCGTCATGTAGCCAAAATACCACAAAACAAGAGAAGAGGAGACATCACACCACAACCCAATGCAGAATACAACTTTAGCAGCCCTCGCATACAGATTTTTGATATCAATTGACAATACTGTTTTGCAGCGTGTCTTGTAGCATGCTCTCCCGTTGGCAGGAACAACAAACCCTACAAGCATTGCGTTGAGGTCTCATCACCCAGTGCCACCTTGCAGTCAATTGGACTGACCGTTTCCCTGCACACTGTCCAAAAACCCGACACCCGACACTTGTAGCAGAAGTTGTGAGGCTGTGAGAGACCCGGAATCCGTAGATTCGCTCCGACACGAATGGCGACGCGATTGTCCACCCGCTTGGCTTGAAAGTCCTGAGGTACAGTGCTCGCACGGGAACCAGCCGCAACTGAAAAATGGGAGGGGTGGCAGACAAGCTGTCACATGCTACGAATACCAGTAGCTCAGGATCACTCGAATCATGTTTGAGAGGTAACTCGTAGAGACTCTTCCGGTTGAATCTTGCCTCGACCTACGATTACCTCAGGATGTGGAGCGCATGTTGGCGATTTTCGGATCCGGGGTCATTTCTGAACCGATCGTGCTCACACACAAAGCCACATCACAACGACAAGAGTTGGTTTAGGGACACCTACTGAAATCCGATACCGCCAGACCTAAGAATACAGGTTACATTGTTAAGTAAGTCCAAGGAGCCACGAGCTGTTCATTGCCGACGGAGAGACTGGGAAATATAGGTCCAGCGATTTCGATCTGACAAGACAGCTTTTCGAGGTCAGGCGACGTGCTTTATAAGCATCTCAACTCTTGTGCCACATGAGGAGTATGCTGGCAACTTCCAACCGAAGCTGGAATGGCTTGCCTTCGAGCTTCCTTGCGCACCCGCCAGAAAGGGTGCGAAGCGGAAGAACACCTCGCAAATCGGCTTTGTCCGACAAAATACTGACTGCTGAATAGCCCTGGGTGACATGGCGCCGCATGCCCTTCCCCTGACCATCTTCTTATGCCACATCGAGATTAGCTTATGAAACCCGCCGCGTGCGCAAGTGCCGAAACTTCCAAACAGACAAAGTGATGTCGGGGCGCCCGGTACAATGCAGCCGTGATTGCGGAGAAGGGGGTCTCCTGGTCAGAGTTTTCGGCTGCAGAAAACACAGTCTTGAGATGCGTCTCGCGTTGCTCGGCTCAGGCGTCCTCCTGGGTTTCTCCGGGCTCCGTCTGGGTGGAAAAGACCAAAGCCCACCGGCCCGGCACCTGAGAGCCGCCATCAGCCAAAATGCAAAAAAGACAGGCCTTGTTGCGGCCTAGGCCAGTTGTAGAAGGCCTGGCTGAATGTGCGGGAAGATACATGTCCACTCCGGGGCTTGATGCAAGTGCAACAAGCGAGAGTTCGAGCGACTACCGGACCCCGAACCTTACGAAAGTCTCAGGCTCTCGAAGACCAGTTGCGCAAAAAAACATGAGCGAAATCGGATGGCACAACCTGCACCAACTCAAACATGTCTTTGGGCCTCTGCATCTCTCCCTGCTGTGGAATGGACTCAAGACTGTGGACCGACTGAGAACCTGTGATTAACAGAAATCCTCGTGGCCACCATTGGTAAAGACCTCAAGACTAAAATGACTAAAAGCTTTGGAGCGTGCAGTTGCCGCCCGCACATCAAGACGCCCTTCGAACTTCGTGGTGAGGCGCCTTCGCCGAGTCACGGCAGCCTGTCTCCTCGAGCTCGGCTGCACTCCGGAAGATCGCGTCTTTGCAGGCACAAAAGGCAAGCATCCTCATCGCAAATGCTCGATGCCTGCTTTGGCAATGGGCCGGCTAGGGAACTCCAGCACCCAAATGCTGCGATTTTGCTTGTCATTTCCTCCCGCCTGCATGCGGGAGCATACAATAAGAATAGACAGCCCCGGCTGGTGTTGTCGGTGACGACACTCTTCGCCGACAGGCAAGATTTCAAGCTCGGTCAACAGCTTCAATATGCTTCAATGATATCCCACTCGGGTCGCTGCAGATCAAAGGAAACACCAACATCGAAGTTGCATGCCGGTCCTGATCTTCCATAGCCACTGCCCGCAAGAGTGACTGCTTTAGGCTCTCCAGCTGGAGCGTCTGATCCTGCAACGCTTTGTTTCGTTCGGCATGTTTTAGTAGACATCCTGCTGTGGCAGCCAAGTCAGGTGTTGGCGTTCCGTGGAGAACCTACGCAGGCTGCCTAGCATCGCGCTGAAACGGCGAGAACACTTTTTCTGCACTTTGGGAACTGAGGATGTAGCTGTCCTGATTCAAAAGCAACTTAGACCCCATTCCGTGCTTGGGCAATTGGGGCCAGACAGTCCTTTGTGAGCTTCTCCATGGACCCTGAAGAGGCAGCAGCTTCAATCAGCTTCAGCTGGGACTGGGGGTGAGTGATCCCTCGCGTACAAAGTGTGTGGACTTGCATCAAGACACTGCACGACATCTATACACCCTTTGTTCTGGACAGGAGCGCTACCCGGGCCAAGACAGCAGAAGCCGCAACAGTCATCTTCAGACGGGTCTTATGTTGAAAGGCCTGTTAGCGAAGCGAAGCTCCACCCGGCAGACCACATAAGGAGGACACAAAGGGCGCGATGAAGCCTGGAAGGCTTGTGGCTGAGAGCTTGGTCATGGTGCGGGCTCAGTCTGAGACACTTCCCTCCGGCGCAGCTCTGAAGCATTCGAGCGTAGTTGACCATCTGCTAGTGATTTTGTTCCTGGATGTTGCTGGTATGTCTGTTTGTCCCTTTGCAGCTTGGTCCGTACTATGTGACTTGCACTGTCTTCCTAGGTCGCTGTCCATCGTCTCGGGGATGCAGTTTTTCCTGATTCCCTCTCCCCCTCCCTCACTGTCGCTCGTTCTCTCCTTTGCTTTCTCCCCAGCATATACATATACTGTCAAATTGCTGCATATACATACATATATATATATGTATAAATTTGGCTACCTACCTACCTACCTACCTACCTACCTACCTACCCACCGACCTACCTACCTACCTACCTACCTACCTACCTACCTACCTACCTATGTACCTATCTACATACATACATACATACAGACAGACAGACTTACTTACTTACTTACTTACTTACTTACTTACTTACTTACTTACTTACTTACTTACTTACTTACTTACACACACATGTATATATATATATGTTCACTGTATATATACACACACACACTATCGTGGACAGCTGCACTGATTCCGATAGATGGATCTGCGGACGAACATCTGCGACATGTTTCTCCGAGACGCGCCAGCAACAGCGACAAACTCGATCGTTCAAGACTCGTCCACACACTCAGATTTTGAAACGCCTGGATGGGCGCGGCCCACTCTCCAGGCAGGTTTCCATGGCAGATTCGGCTGCTGGAACTTCAACACGACGGTGACGGCGGAGAAGCTGCTTCTAAGCCATCGTCACCGGGGGCTACTCCGGCGTTTGCCATGCTTTACTTGACTTGCCTTCCAGCGAGTAGGCAAGCTGTGCTAAAGTCGATTTGCAGAGGCGTCGCTTGCGTAGGGTGGAACTACAGGTTGTGAAACCGCAGGCGTCTTTTCAGACTCACCGGCGGTGTGGTGAACAGCTGATCTGAGCCGCGCCAAGCGATCACTGACTCCAATTGCATCAAGTTCTCCTATTCACCTCTTGCTGATTCCACTGGAATGCGAGTCACGTCTTTTGTGCAGTCTCTCACCGCGTATTGGCCCGACGACGCTTTGCATCTTCTGCCACCACCGCCAGCTCCTGAATCGCGGGCGAGCGTGTGTCGGAACGAGTATGGAAACCGCCCCTAACTTTTGCCGAGATTTGCTCGACAGGCTTCAAAACCATGTCTGCACACACTCGAAGCCTTTTCTACCTAACTCTGAATCCCTAGAAAGTATAGTTCAACCCAGTCGTGCGCCCGTGTCCACCATGGTAATGGAGCAAGCTTTTCACGTAAATCGGCGCACGATGGTCGGCGGCCTACGCCTTTAGCGCAGACCCTTCTATACTAGCCTTAATTGAAAGGTCTTATAGTGTCGACGAAACAGGTTTGGGGCCTGCAGACCCTGAAGGCCCTGTCCTCGCGCCCACGCTTGCGTGCAATCTCTCGGTACTTGAGAGCCTCAGTGCACGCGGGCTTAAAGTCTGGCTGGATGCCGACCAGCTGCGTCGCAGAAGATAGATGACCGCACTGGTTTCAAGACGATTTTATCGTCAACCAACTATCGAGCAGAGTGGCCAGAACTGTCTTGTGAGGCGTCTCTTTCGCTTGGAAGGTGGAGTAGACATCCCCGAAAGCTGTGAAAAGCCCCACAGCCCGAAACCTTCAGCCCTCAAACCCCAGAACCTGACCGCTGCACACGGCAACCCAACCGTGTGGAGCTCTGCGTCTTGCATCTACCAACGCTAAAGCCCTCAACTCAAACCTGTAGACGCAAACCAGACAACGTCCCGGTCAGCTTCTTTGTTGCTCTGGCTCGTTGGCAGGAACCCAGGATCGGACAATGTGCTTCATTGGGCCGCGATTTTCACAAGATGTCCGCAATCTGCGAGTGCCCTAGAGCTTCTGCCAACTGCTTATCGAGGGCCTCTGCATGGGCTCCTGCCTTCAGCAAGGCCTCGACCAGTAGCAGCTGGCCTTTAGAAACAGCCCAGGTGAGGGCTGTGAAGCCATCCGCACCGCGGGCCGCAATCTCAGCTCCGTCCAGCACCAGCGCCGTGACCACCTCCTGGTGTTTTTCGCATGCAGCCCAGATGAGGGCTGTGCTGCCTTGCTTATCGCGGGCCTCCAGCTGCGCTCCTGCCTCCAGCAACGCCTCCACCACATCTAACCAGCCATTGATTGCAGCCACGATAAGGGCGGTTTTGCCATTCTCATCGCGGGCCTCCAGCTGGGCTCCGGCCCTCAGCAACGCCTCAACAACCCTCAGGTGGCCATGTTCTGCAGCGACAGTGAGAGCTGTGCCCTCACTACAAGCAGCATCCAGCTGGGCTCCGGCTTTGATCAAGACCTCGGCCACCTCCAACTCGTTGAAGAATGCAGCGGACATGAGGGCTGTGTAGCCATACTGATCGTGGGCCTCCAGCTTTGCTCCGGCCCTCACCAGAAAATCGACCACATGCGCATGGCCCTTCCTTGCAGCAACGACGAGGGCTGTGCGCCCTCTTTCATCTTGGACTTCCTTCGGCAACGCCTTGAGCACGTTCAGGTGACTCCTTCTGGCAACCTCGATGAGGCAATTTGCATTGCAGGCCTCGGGCTCTGCTCCGTCCAGCACTAACGACCTGACTACGTTCAGGTGGCCACTCGTTGCAGCTACTGTGAGGGCTGTTTCGCCGGCGTCGCTGCGGGCCTCCACCTGGGCTCCGGCGCTCAGCAACACCTCGACCACCTTCAGGTGGCCTTTATCGGCAGCACACATGAGGGCTGTGTGGCCCAGCCGGTCCGGAGAGCTCGGATCCGCATTCTGGTGAAGAAGTTGCTCCGCACTGGTGCGTGTCTCTCTCCAATTCCAAGTAAAAGCCTCCCCCAACAGGTGCTGCTGCCCTGCTTTCAGGTCTTGGCTCAGCTTGATAAGCTTGAAGAGAGCGTCGCCGTCAAGTGCCAATTTTTGAGCCGAGCTTCTCAGCTTGTCGGCAAGGGCCGCCTCCTCTTGGCTTCGGATGAGGTCAGTGGTGGCCATGGCTGCGAACTGTGGGCTCCCGGCCTGCAGGGAGCGAAGCGAGCGAAGCGACTCGCCACTAGAGACTACACTCGGCGCCTGGCGGAGCTCTTGGTCCTTCTGGTCCTGCTCCTCCTTGGCCTCCGGCACAAGACACTCCCCCAAAAATCTGACTTGAGACGAGAGAAGCTCTTGTTTCAGGGGGCCTTGACAAGCTTCTCCACGTGCTCTGCCAAAGCCTCATCCAGGCTGCAAGTGCCCGAGCAGTCGATGCACTGCCACCGGAGCCGCGACCTCATCGCGAAGGCTTCCGGGCTCCAGTTGGTCATGGACTTGGCCCAAGAGGGCAGGCGGGCGAGGAGCCGCTTCTCTAACTCTGGGCTGGTCTGGTCACAGGTGCCCATGAGGTCCACAAGCATCACTTTCGGAGACCAGAACCCGAGGCCCCAGGCTGCGAGCCCCACCGTTGGGATTTCATGGGTGGACAGCACGGACTGCGACAAGCTACGCTCACCTGTGATCTGCTTGTTGACCAGTGCGATGACGGTTCCCTGTGCCCTTTCGCGCATCCCGAGCACGAAGCTCATGCTTGCGATCGACCACATGTTCCCTGCAAGCGCGCTGGTCTCGGTGTCCTTGTAGCAGGCGTCGAGGTTCTCGCTCGCCTCAATGGCTCGGCCCAAGAAGCTGTTCGGGTGCACGGTCGCGTGCTCTATGGCCTTGGCAAAGTTGGAGAGCGCTGCCTGCGTCGTGCGGTTCTCGGGGTCGCCGTCCCAGAAGCCAGCCCAAAGCAGTGCATGTTGAAAAGTCTTGGTCAGGTCCACTAGCCAGCTCCTCAGAAAGGAGAGCGCTTGATATCGACGGAGCGTTTCGCCGGCCACATCCACGGAAGCTACGGCATCTCTGGAGACACGGAGGGTTTCCACCAATTCGTCTCCTATCGCGAAGATGTCGCTGACGCTGTCAGCGCACGTCTTCTTTGGAAGGGCCGGGTAGTAGTCGAGAAGCCAGTCGGCTTTCGGCTGCAAGCCTTCGCATGCAAGGGTGAGAGTGTTCATTAGACCCCCCAGCTGCCGGTGGCATGCGCTGGCGCTCTGCCAGTCCTCTCTGATGCTGGCAATCCGCTCTCGAAGCTTCCGCTCCTGTGCGGCATCGGGCTCTTCTCTGGTGTCAGCTGCGCTGGTCCTGAGCACTGTTCTCAGGAGTTCCTGAAGCTCCTCGGCCGAGCTCACGGGGTGCTCTTCCCACGGCCAGGGCGTATCGCTCTTTGACCGGATCCCGGCTGCAAGGGCGATCAAAAGGAAGGCAAGCAGGCGCGCCATCGCGCAAGGATCCTAAATGGAACTTTGTAGATCTGCCAAAACGGTGAGTCGCTGGAGAGCACACTGCTCTGCGGAAAACTTCACATCACCTCACAACGAAGAGCCGCAGCAACGAAACAGTAGATGCCTCTGCAGCTGGGGTTGTGGCCATCGAAAGCCTGCAATCAGCATGGTGATGTCAAGATGCTTGTGCTGGACACGGTCAGGTCACCCACACAACAGCCTCCGGCGCAGCTCTGAAGCATTCGAGCGTAGTTGACCAGCTGCTAGTGATTTTGCTCGTGGATGTTGCTGGTATGTCTGTTTGCTTCCCTTTGCAGCTTGACCCGTGCTATGTGACTTGCACTCGGGGAAGCAGTTTTTTATTGATTGCCTCTCCCCCTCCCTCTCTGTCGCTCGTTCTCTCCTTTGCTTTCTCCCCAGCATATGCATCTACTGTTAAATAGCTGCACATATATATATTTATATTTATATTTATATTTATTATATATATATATATATAGACACAATCGAGGACAGCTGCATTGATTCCGATAGATGGATCTGCGGACGAACATCTGCGACATGTTTCTCCGAGATGCTCCGGCAACAGCGACAAACTCCGCAATCGTTCAAGACTCGTCCACACACTCAGATTTTGAAACGCCTGGATGGGCGCGGCCCACTCTCCTGGCAGGTTTCCATGGCAGATTCGGCTGCTGGAACTTCAACACGACGGTGACGGCGGAGAAGCTGCTTCTAAGCCATCGTCACCGGGGGCTACTCCGGCGTTTGCCATGCTTTACTTGACTTTCCTTCCAGCGAGTAGGCAAGCTGTGCTAAAGTCGATTTGCAGAGGCGTCGCTTGCGTAGGGTGGAACTACAGGTTGTAAAACCGCAGGCGTCTTCTCAGACTCACCGGCGGTGTGGTGAACAGCTGATCTGAGCCGCGCCAAGCGATGGCTGACTCCAATTGCACCAAGTTCTCCTATTCACCTCTTGCTGATTCCACTGGAACGCGAGTCACGTCTTTTGTGCATTCTCTCACCGCGTATTGGCCCGACGACGCTTTGCATCTTCTGCCACCACCGCCAGCTCCTGAATCGCGGGCGAGCGTGTGTCGGAACGAGTATGGAAACCGCCCCTAACTTTTGCCGAGATTTGCTCGACAGGCTTCAAAACCATGTCTGCACACACTCGAAGCCTATTCTACCCTAGAAAGTATAGTTCAACCCAGTCGTGCGCCCGTGTCCACCATGGTAATGGAGCAAGCTTTTCGCGTAAATCGGCGCACGATGATTTGCGGCCTACGCCTTGAGCGCAGACCCTTCTATACTATAGCCTTGAAATGTCTTATAGTGTCGACGAAACAGGTTTGGGGCCTGCAGACCCTGAAGGCCCTGTCCTCGCGCCCACGCTTGCGTGCAATCTCTCGGTACTTGAGAGCCTCAGTGCACGCGGGCTTAAAGTCTGGCTGGATGCCAACCAGCTGCGTAGCAGAAGATAGATGACCGCACTGGTTTCAAGACGATTTTATCATCAACCAACTATCGAGCAGATTGGCCGGAACTGTCTTGTGAGGCGTCTCTTTCACTTGGAAGGTGGAGTAGACATCCCCGAAAGCTGTGAAAGTCATCAATATCAGCTGTGAGAAGCAATCCTGTGTTTGGGCACGTTGGCAGAAGCGGCACAAGCTCCAAACTGACGCATCCAGGCCCGCAGCATTGGCGTTTTCTGGATCGATTTGCAGCCTCAGTGGTGCGCTGTAAAGACTTCCACAGCCCATGTCTGCAGAACAACACCTGAGCCGCGGAACGCGGCATCGAAGTCCCTGAGGGCCTTCAGGCAGCAGCAAAGGCAACTAGGTCCCTAGGTTGTCTCCAGCTCGGTATTCAGCCTTTTAGCCTACCTCAGCACAACCTCTGACAGTTTATGGCAGCTGCAAGCTATCTTCTGTTCATCCCCTACCTCCAGCGGACTACAGGCATACAAATCTTTCAAGTTGCAGACCTACTGGCCTCGCGTGCACGGCCGAGGTTTGTCAGCGCAGCCCCACGTGCCACAAGGCCCTCCTCTGGAAAAAAGAATCGAAAGTGGGACAAAGTTCTTTGCCTGCAGTCTCTCGTCAAGAAAGGTCCTTGTGCAGGGGGCAAAGCTCCAGTGCGGCATCGTACCTGGCAGGATGGAGTGCCGGAGACTTACTCCCACTCAACTAATTGTACTTGGTCCGGGTTGTTACATCCAATTCCAAGTCTTACCGTGAGTCCGATAGGAATGCCGGTAGGCTCATCTTCCGCGAAAGTCCAGCTGAAAAATGTTTCCACCGGACTTTCGGAAGCATTCTGATGCAAGCGATACCACGTCAAGCAGCTCAGTTCTCTGCATGGAGATCAGCCTGAGCATGTCTGTACAGCTAAACCCTTGATTCCTTGGGTCGACGGGCGCAGAAGGATCCCCAACGTTGCAGGGTATCATTTTGAAAGATGCGGTTGACAGCCTTCTCACATCATAACATTGGATTTCCGGCCTGCTCGGCGGCTTTGCAGAATCCATCTTCTTCTACAATGGGGATTTGATGTGTCTCACAGCGAAACAGCACTTTGTCAGTCATATTTCAGAGTCATCTGAAAATGGATATCATTGTTTTATTTGGCAAAATTTCCAACACATCTTATTAGAGTCATTCAGATTCCCATGCAGATCAGGAAGATACTGTACTACATTAGACTCCAGTAGACTAGTAACTGTTGCAATCATTGAAGTTCCATTGGAGATAGTGATACCAGTCCACTAGTACTGATGACTTTCTGCTGGCACAGGCACGATCACACGTGCGAAGAACCCTGGCCTCGAAAAACATGCTTCCACCTTTTGCTGCTGGGGATGACTCCTGATCCCGGTTCAAGATGGAAAAAAGCTTATGGTTCAAGCACCGGCCTGATCGTGTTTGGGACAGGGGATGCGCTGCTCCCACTGTGCGGGGCTCGCAGATCGATATGGTTGCAGATACTACAGGCAGCTGTTTATGTGAGCAAATTCCGAAGCTGAAGTTTACCCCAAAAGCCATACTCACCCTCACGCACTCCGCCCACGCCCACCCACCCTCCCACACCCACACACCCAGAGAGACAGAGAGAGAGAGAGAGAGGGAGAGACCCACACATCAACTAACCAACCAACCAACCAAGCAAGCAAGCAAGCAACCAACCAAGCA